CTACTATTTTGTGGAATTATGTGGAATTTGTGATGAGTTAGACATACTTAGTGGTGACCATTATTTGTTAGCTGCATTAGCTTCATAGCTCCAAACCTAAAGATGCAAACTGCAGACATCAAAAATGTCATGGCCGATTACTTTTAGTGATGATGGGAGCCAATTATGTGCCAGCCTAACACACAAGAAGACATGTTTACAAGTCCTGCTTTGTAACCTGAGAGGACAGAGGAAGTAAGAGGGCACGTGAGAAAAAGGAGCAGGAGGTGCACAGCGAGAGAGAGAGAGAGAAAGAAGATATGTGTGTCAAGCTTTAAATATTCATCTTTAACCATAGCTGATTTGATTCTCTATGGAAAACAGATATTACAGGTGAGGTCATGTGACCTTTTTTCCCTTCCTGGTTTATTCCTGTATGTCTCTTCCCACTTTCCCTGTCTTCTTCATCCTGCTTATAGCAGAAATTTTCTAGGGCTAGAGTTGATGTGTACTGGTCACTTTATTAGAAACACCTAGGTTGTACTTCCAATCACTAGCCACTTTATTGGAAGCAACTACCTCCCTGTCCAACTTACACTTTCTTACAAAAGTAGGCCATTTTAGCGTTAGGTGTCTTGCCCAAGGAGCCGTCCCTCACCCAACATATTTTTGTATAATATACAACTTTTTGTTTTCCTTTTAAAATTGTATTTTTAAAGTATTTTCATGACAAAAAAGTATTTTATAAAATGCATTTTTAAAAGATTGATTTGAAACCTGTGTTTTCTTTATTTATATATTTGTTTGTCTGCTCAGCCCACCACTAACATTGCACTTTGGGCCCCAAAATGCAAAAATTTGCACACCCCTGCAGTATGCACACTGCATATTTATATAACAGTATGTCATACACCACATGAGGCAGGTCTATTTGAGATTAGAGTCAAATCACAGACTATTCTGAGGGCATGATCATCAACAGGGCTAGCAAAACTAATAAATCAGAGCTTTTATACAGCTGTGAGGGGCTTATGTGATGCTCAACAGTTGTGAATACAGTTCTGCTCTAAGCAGAATCCTCACTGATACCCTGTCAATAGATGTCATAATCCTCTACTGTTTCTAGTGGGACATTGTGAGTGTGTGCATACCTTACGTGCAATAATGCCTTTGTTGCTCTCCTGGGTTGAGGTGTGGTGCTCAACTTGGCAGGGCGCTGTTTTAAATGCTACTTTGCCTTGTATGGAAACGCACGCAGGCTATGACTAGCTCCGAAGTTCAGTTTGAACAGTGCTTATCTAACTGGACAGAGAACCACGCTCAACACCTGAAGATTAATCCATTTGCTCCGGTAAATTTACCATTCCATGCCTTTTGCCAGCCAGAATAAAACATTTCTTTTTGAGTAGTTACATATCTGTCCATCTAGTGGCTTACTAGTGACATATTTCTAAAGCTATTAACCAAGATTGCATGGTTGTGTTATGTCTCAGTGCCAGCTTTGCTGTTGTTTTGTCTCGGGGGATGGCAGTAAGCGTACTGTTTTGTCTGTGGGCTTTTGTGTTATTAAGTAACCTGGTAAACGTGTGTTCATTGCAGCACTGCATTATAGCTAAGCCACTTTAATCCTGCATAGTGTGCTACTCTAAGGCAGAAAATTGCAGTGCGGAGTGTGTTATCTTTGGCAGTAGATGTATCTTTCCTCAGACTCTGTGATTGGTGTATGTGTTCATTTTCTCAAGTGTGTGTTAACCCAGCATTTATGTCATTGTTAAACTTCATCCCTTAAGCAGAGGTAGATAGACAAGTCTAGTACTGTATTCAAGTCAATTGCTGCTTTAAAGAAACAAAAGTGAGTAAAAGTGGCTTCCAAAAGCCGAAAAAGTAACAGGTCTGAAAATTTGTCGAAGTGTCTCAAAGCTTATAAAGCTGCAGAGAAACGCGGCCTTCATTGTGGAGAAATCTATAGACTTTCAGTCACCCACAATCCTTTATTTCTCAGTTAGTGACCCATGAAAACATAAAACACAGCGCAGTTTTATGTAAACACGACTTTATGCTTTATTGACAAAAAAGCAGTCTAATGTAACAGATATGACGGTGAGTCAATGTAGTCTACTTTCTTGCATTGACAGCATTATTATGTGGCCAGGTAAGTGAACATATCGCTGCTATATCGTAACAAAACCAAAAACTTTACAGGAGAAGAAAAAACCTACTTTACTTTTAATGGAAGTCAATGGAACCAGACTTTTTTCCAAGTCATTTTAGGCCGTTTCGTTTGGCCCATTTTTCATGAAATTAACACACAATATAAAGGACTACAGCATTTTCAAATTATGTAAAAAAATAAAGTAAAAAATGACAAAAATGGAGATACAAGGTTTTGCTCAGACAGCAGCAAAAAATGCCCTGACCAGAGCTAGTGTGAAATTGTATGTATAGTTCAAACAACAATCAACAAAGTCAATAGCTTGAAAGTTTTAAGCGTTTTTGTTCTGGGACTAACTATGTAGGCTCACAGTTTGCTAAGTACTTTAGTAAGCTAAAACATTATCACTCTAATAAATAATACTATGATTACTCTCATCCCAGTCATCCCAGTGCTTTACAAAGGAGGAGACAGGTCAGTGGTTAAAATATGAACCGGAAAGCTTATAACGCTCAATAAGGCATCTGTTTGCAGCAAAAGTCTCATCCTTCAATAAAAAGAGCCCATCAGCGCCCCCTTGTTGTGAAGATCTGCACAAGCACAGTAACCGGAACAACCTGAAAAATCGTGTTTTGCGTCATAGAGACAGAATTGCTACAGACTATGATTTTTTTGTTAGATTTTCCAGTGATTTCAAATATGTTTTCAAAATGGTCATTTGACGTTCAGTTTTGAGTTTTTAGGTCTCTCCCCATTTAAAAAGATTGCCTGGTCTTGAATGGCTTCAATTAACTGCCCGGCTTTGAAAAGATGGACACCGAGTGAACAGACTTTGCTATAAGGACTTTGGCAGCACTTTAAATACGACTATTAATATTTCAATTTTTAGCAACTGTAACAGAGTAAAAAAATGCCCAACCTCTGGAAGCAATTAGCTGGTTAACTATCTTAGCCTAATAGCTGCTTTCAAGCTATTTTTTCATGATTGGCTGTTTTCTTTCAGTGTTTTAGAAATAAAAGTAACAGCTCTTTATTAAACCTGAAGTATGTTTACATGTTGAAGATATGCTAACTGGCTAGCTTTAGCCACTAAACTGAGCATGGATCTTCTTTCTGTGAGGTGAATATTAACATAAAGTTGCTTAAATCAGTTACTAGAGTAGTTTTTCCAGTAAAGACTATTTACTGTTACTGGAGTAATTTTCTCAATTAACATAGGAATTATTAGCATTCGCATTTTCTTTATTATTTTCCTTCTATCACTGCAAGCGTGTGGTAAACATGTGTATGTTATGTAACGAAGGGGCTGTCCAGTGGTCAGCATGGTCAGAGTGGGTTAATGAGTCACACGCACAGTTTCAGCATTCATAGACACTGCGACATTGTGTGTCCAGTTGTTTTGCTAATGTACTGGACCTCAGGGTCACTCGGTGGTGGAGGTCAAGTGGAAAGTATTTGTGGAATGTCTGTTATCTTCACTCTTCCTTTCTTTCCACCTCCCTTTCATCTATTTACATATTAACATTAGTGCCCACAGAGGCTTTATTCAGTGGAAAAAATGCACTGTTAAAGTCTGCAGATGTTTACATGGTTAAAAGTTAATGTCATGTCTGTTACATAACCAGCTCCTTGCCTGTTCCTGCTGAGGACGCTGAGTAAATATCGCTCTGTGTGAGTGCGTGTGAAGATTTTTTTTTATGTCTTATACAGTTTTGCTGGAACCTCCCATTCCTCCCTGCACTCAGACTATTTTGGGCTTCTGTAGAGCACTCAGCAGTTACTCATATGGACACTGTCCAGTTTGGAGTAGAAACATTCGCAGTACAGCTTGAGGACGTTTCGGGTTATTTGGATTGTGAGAAGCAGAAAATGCTAAACCAGCTTCTAGGACTGAACTTTGGTGGTGTGGAAAAATATCCCCGCAGATTTCTTTGGAAAAAAATGAAAGCAAATCTGATGAAAAGAGTGGAAGCTCATTGAGGCTTCTTTGTAATTCTCGGTTAAATATGTTTGCTGCTTTTTTTCCTGAGGCCAAAAAATGAATAAGTTGCACTCAGTGGCCATTTTGACTGGAAGTTAAATAAATGAAGGGTGGTCTCTGACTTACATGCAGTACTGTATATATAGTGGTTATCAATAAAACCTAATACCTCTGAACAGCTAACTTTATAAGAGAAGAAAAAACATTCATTAACACCAATGTAATTTGTAAAAATGGAAAAGATTCTAATGTTGCATTAGATTTTGTCAGTCTTTTGATGTTTCAGCAAAATTCTAGCTGCTGAATTGGGTCAAATCTGCACCAGGCAGGTTTAAATTAGCCACAGTGATGGTCATTTCCTTCACTGTGCGTTCCTCTGTCGTCCTGCGTCGTCTCTCGTCCTGCGGAAGCCTGTTTATGTATGCGTGGCTCTGTTGTCATGGTGATGTTCCACGTTGCTCTGGAGTGTATTGCCCTGTTTGGAGTCTCTGCCACAATTCAAATGTACATTCAGACCAGCCCCTCTGGCGGGCTCGGGGGGGAGCTGTGGTATTTTCCAGAAGCTGGAGGGTGGAAACAGAATTTAAACAGAATGTTCTGTATCTTAGAGACTGTATTTTATTTCTCTTTTTTGCATTGAGTAAGCTCTGACGTTCTGGCCAAACTTTTATAGCCCATTGGCCTCCATTCAGACTCTCTCTCCCACTCTGTGTGTGTCTCTCTCTCTCGCTCTCTCTCTCCCCCCATACAGACACACTCATGGGGCTATTACTCAGTTTCTCCTCCCCACATTTTCCTCCATATAGCTCCGTCCTTCATTTCTAACGGTTCTTTTCTTTGGGGTTCCCCTTGCCCTCTTTGAAGTTTTATTTTCTTGTCGTCCTTCAGGATAGTTGCCGCAGACTTAGACTGACCCTGCACGAGCAAAACCAGCAGCAGCCCACCGTCGGAAAGGTAAGGACCACCAAAACAAACACACCAACACATACTCCTGCAAACTCATGGAGTTATTTAATGATGGGTAAGGCTCAAGAACGGCACTCTAGACCACTTAAGAGTTTAATAAAAGTGAGAGATTGATTCATTCAGAAGAAATGAGATGAAGAATTTCACAGAAGAATGAGGAAACGTTGATCGTTAACGAATGAGGAAAGAGTTCCCACAGTTCACCGTTGGGCGTTTACTGTCCATCTGTTCCTCATCATTGCCTGAACATTGTAATTTTAATCATATCCAAAACCCTATTGCTGTTGTTGGGTTTTTGCTGCTTTAGCTCTCTGTGTTGCATCTAAAAAGATAGTTTACAGAGCAGTTGTCTGGAAAAAAATCAAATTTATGCAGTTTTGGCTAATCATTCCACCAAGACATGTTTGATGTCTATAGCTAATGTAGCAAAGAAGTCATAGACTTGCTTATGTGGTTTCTAACATACTTTTATCTATTGAAATGCACTAAAGTACAAATACAATTAAGGCTAGTTGGTTGCTACTGTTGTTTTTAGCTATATAATATACTTTCTGTGAATTTTTATAGATAATGTTATCTATATGGCATATACTATAGAGTATTTTTATAGATTACAGTATGCCACGCAGTGTCAGAAATCGCGTAAGCAAGTCTGTATTGAGATTTGTTTTTAACGCAAGTTTGTGATCGTTTATGCAAGCAGTTAAAATGAATTGGTGAGGTTTAATCTTCCATTCAGTTGCTAGCAACATTAGCCTTGTAGACACCAAACATGTATTAGCTAATGAACTGCATTTAGGCTACAGGGGAAACCTTTGCTGAACTATCACTTTAAGGGAATTTTGATTGTCATGTTTGTGCTACTGTGTAACTTCTTGTGAAAGTTGGCGAGCTCCCTGGTCTTCTGCTCTCCTAACCTCTTCTCCACTTTCAAGCTGTTTATTCTTGTAAATCGGTACTTTTCCAGTTCTCTCTCTCTCTCTTTGTACCACTCGCTGTCTCTCGACCAAAGCTCCGCAAACACAAGCATCTTAAAGAACAGATTTGTGGCCGAAGTCCAGCACAGTGGGTCTTTTACGCAAGACGATCTCTGAGGACCACAGGCCCATTGTTTCAGATGCCAGAAATTACATAACTCCTCCTCCTCTCCCTCCCTCCCTCCCTCTCTCTCAATCTGTCTTGTTTCTTCCTTTCTCCTCAGGCCTCTCCTGTTTCACTTTTGATATTTAGACTCTTTCTTTTCTCAAACTAAGGAGGTACAAATGCCAGAACTAATATTTGGTATATGTGCTTCTTTCTCTAAATCCAGAAGAGACAACTGAATATCGACTTTAATATCCTTTGGTGTACAAACACACAAATATATTCACTTTATCAGAAACCCCTGTCTTATTCTTCCACTCACTGGCCACTTTATTGGAAACCACAACCTTGAATGTACCCTTTCTGGCCACTTTATTAGAAACACTGCCTTGTACTTCCACTAACTGGCCAGTTTATTGGAAACCCCGCCTTGCACTTCTACTTACAGCCCACTTTATTAGAAACACCTGGCCACTTTATTAGAAACCTCTGTATTGTACTTGCACTCACTGGCCACTATATTGGAAACCCTGACTTGTTCTTCCACTTACTTTATAAGCTGCACCTACTTAAAGTGGACTACTGTCTTTAACGCCAGCAAATTGGAGCTGTAATAGATGGAGGGGTCTTTAGTAAGATGTCCACATGTCGCCCAATATATTACTTCAGCTTGAAATGTAACCATGATGCATGACTTTTTTGGTCAGTATTTGATGACACCACTTTTGGCGTCATTGGGGAACAGTATATACCCTGAGGGACAGGAAACCGTACGTGTCTAACATGTAAACATGTTGTGACAGACTGTTACACTCAGATTAAATGCTATGTATTTTCCAAAGGGTTCCAGAAGCAGGCTGCAACAGATTTTTGAAAAGAACAGCATGTGCAAACAGTTAGTCATGCTTCTGCTATTTGTGCAATATGTGCATATGATTTCACATTTGTAGTGTAATCTAATAGTCCAAACTCTTCAACCCTCCAGCCAATCGGCAGAGCCTTCGCCTTAGTGCAGCCAGCCAATGAGAAGCAGCATCTGAGGATAGAGCCGGTCAAACCGTCGGAGGAGAAGGTTGAGGTCATAAAGGTGGGTGGATTTCAACAGTAATGATCGAGACGGTGCGTGAGTGACAGTATCAGGTGTGATGTAAAAAGTGGGCAGGGTTTGTTCAGATTTGCAGATGTTCTCTTTAACTTAGCCCTGCTTTCACAATAAACAAACACAGGATGAGTGACTGTGTTCTGACTTGCATCACTTCGTACCATGGAAAGATTGCTAAAGTCTGTGACAAAAGGAGTCATGATATTAATTATGTGGATGCTTTCATATTTGTATATTTTTTTGGACGAAGTGTTCAGACTTTGTAAGAAAAAGAGTTTAATTTTTTAACTCAACGAGCAAAATAAAATTACTTTTTGATAACTACAGTTAAGATTAGGGCTGTTATAGAGCTAGGACTTGTTATTACATATTAGATACTTATTTAATACATAGGGATGATTATATATATATATATAATTCATATGGGAAATATTACACACTAGTACACACTAGTCATCATCAGCCCAGGAGCATGTCACCATATTTTTTATTATATGCCAGTCAGATGTTATAAAGCAGTATGTTGTTCTGGGTGTTTTAGGTGTATCTGGAGGCCCGGAAGCAGGAGCAGGCCAGAAACCAGCAGAGCTTGAAGATGCTTTCAGAAGAAGTTTCCCAGATCCAAGAGGTTAGCAACACCACCTCTCTCTCTCTCTCTCTCTCTCTCTCTCTCTCTCTCTCTCTCTCTTTCTCTCTCAGTGTGTGTGGAAATATTATACACAGTGTGTTTGGGAATAACATTGGTCTGTGTTGTTTTTTCCTCCAGGTAAGATACTGTTTGAAGAGCCTGAGGGAGCAGATGGCAGCTAAAAACAACCACCGGACAGAGCACAAGGTAAGAAGGCTGTGAGCGTTCAGTAAATATTAGGCTGGCTTTAGATTTCCCTGCAGTTTTCAATCTCAAATGCAACATGTTTGATTATTCTGCTGGTTAGCAAGATTAACATCTAGTATTTGTAATATATTGATGATGGTAACTGTATCCTATCAAAGCAGACTAAGCATTGGCCCAGCAGCTTTCATGTTTGATAATATCATGTGTTACGTAATCTGGTTGTTTTATCAAAAAATGTTGAGAAAGCTGTGGAAATTTAGTATCAAATGAATTTCTGGACACTTTTTGATACACAACACGAGTGAAATTTAGTTCCAAGAAAATTTCACCATGTAAAGCCAGTCTTTGGAAGTATGCATTGTGGACCTTAGGCTGGCTTTACACAGTGAAAATTCCATTCAACTTCACTTGCTTGAAACCTATATAAAACTAAATTTCATAGAATAAAGCATATTGTGATGCATGTAAAAACTCAGCCGCAACAGTTGCGAACATATCAACTTCGTTCCATGTTTCATGAAACAGGTTGCTAGCTTTTAATTTTGTCTGTTTTCTAATGACAACAAATGTAAGATTCTTGAACTTTTTTGTGTTTGTTGCACTGTTGCTTTTTTAGCCTGCTGTTGTAGAAATATTTTCTCCTGTCTTGATGCCCCTAATTTTACACAGAGGTCAGATTCATTTAGGATGTAGGACAGGATAAGTAATGTAATGTAATGGCTACTCAAACATTAATTTTCTAAGGCTTAACATATACACAACAAATAAAAAGCTGACATTTATATTGAAGAACTGTGGGTAGGTAGGTAGGTAGGTATCAAATAATATGAGCTGCTAATTTGTATTCTAGTAGAGTAACTTAACGTGTTGCATGCAACTTTGGTTGTTTTTAATTGCTTTGTCAACTATTAAGTTGCATAGAAAGTTTGTTGCAGGCAACTCACAACATGTGTTGTGAGTAAAACTGTCACAGCATGACAGTTTTACTGTCTAAATCCAGTTTTAGAAGAGGAAACTAACTTATCCTTCTCTCCCTCCCTCTCAGTTGCAGTTAGTGCGTAATGGCCTCAGCAGAGTAAACGGTGCTCCACCATCAACAGCGCAGGACAGTGAGTACAAGCAGGTCAGTTTCCACACGGCCTATCAAATAACACACACACAAACAGGTCCCTTTTTTCATGGGAACTGACCGGCACACTGCACAGAACAGCACAGTCTGCATCTACAGAACAAACCGCACACACACTGAGGTAACTCTGCACATGTGTACTTACCATTCAGGATTAATGCTGCTCTAATCATAACTACAAACACATAAACGCACCCACACATGCAGTCAGTCCAGAAAAGCACATTCGACCTGCACCCTCTTTGTTAACCTCAAATTGTTTCTTATTCAGTTACTGAATAAAAGAGTTATTATTAAGTAACTGCTATTACATAAGCACTATGAAACCTATACTAATATGAGAGTGAAGAATGCTCCACCCACGAATGCATTCCTTCATAGTTACTGTTGCTAGGTCAGACAAGCTTTGAAGAACGCTGGCAGAAATCCAATTCGGTGTACTTGCTATGACAGCGTCTAACTATCAGTAGGGTTCCTGTAGATCCTTAGAAAGTTGTACAAAGTCCTGAAAATAGACTTTGTCATAAATTGTCTTAAAAATCTACAATTAGAGGTATGGCAGAGCATGGAAAGGTCGTACAGACTGTCTTGGATGGCGAAAAACCCCAATTTGCAGCGACTGCACATGCTCCTCGTTCCTGACAAAGCCTCTTTCATTCCACAATAGTGTTTGAAAGGCTGGATTAAATTCCCCCCCCAGTGTGTGCTCTCTGTATGTGAGAGTTCGCTGAAAAACGAGTGGAAAAAGTCCAGCCTTTCTTCCGTACGTCAGGACTTCACTGTTAGGACCCACACCCTGATGACGCATACACACATACACAAACACACACCTTCTCTCTCGCTCTCTTTTCCTCTCGTTCTCTCTCTCATTTGATTCTATAAATATCCTGAAGGAGAACGTGTTGGTGTGGAGGAGAGAGTTAACAACACAGTATGGTGCTGTTATAGGGTGTGTATGTGTGTTTTATATAGGCTACAGTCTACAGGTGTCATGTTTATAGACAAGCTTGTTGCATAACTGGTGCGAAACTGTAAAAGTGCAACACAAACAGCTCCATAAATCAAGCAGTGACTTCAGTTCCGTACCAAAAAGATAAACTTTAGGGAGAATTTCAACAGTTTCTCATAGCTTCTGTGTGATTTACTCTTTATAAACCATGTTATTCAGAGGTTTGGTGTGAAGTTGTTCATTGTAGAGAAACCTAGAAACTCAGATTTACAGTGGAGGAGAATGGAACCAGAGGTCACAATGTCTACAACAAAAGTATAGCCATTTTATTGACTATCCAAAACCACCAGTGAACCTACACACATCTTTTGAGTTTTTATATGTAATGTTGATGATGGTAAAATAGTGGCAAATCTGAAAATAGAAGTTTTTTGTGGACTTTTTTGCCTCATAACACCCTGCATGTACATCTATGCCAAATTAGGTCAAAACCTTAATTCAAAACTATTGTAAAACAGTGACTCTCTCAGGTATGGTATTGCGTTTACATCGAACATGACAAAGTTAACACAAGAGTTGCACAATATCATTTTATGGCGATTGCACTTCCCATGTCTTTACAGCCAAATTATCAGTTTTATTAGCCTTTGTTATTATTTGTTTACTTGAAGCTCTCACTGTGTGAGCTAAGCATACACATGAAAAACACAAGCACAGTTCCAGCAATTTCTATTAACCAAAGTCACAACATACATAATGTTTCATGTATCGTTTAATAGGCCGAACTTGCATTTTAAATGTACATGGCTACACAAAGTAAGAGGCAACTGGCTATTTAGCAGTTATTTACATTTAAAATTGCTACACAGACCAGCCAAAAATTTTATTTAAACCCTAGTTTAGAATATTCATAACTGTTTATGGATGCTTAGAGTAGAAGGGACAGCAGCTGTGGACATTTTAATAATCATTAAAACAACAACAGTAATAACAAACTTTCTCTCTCTCTCTCTTAGGAGCTGATGGATGAGCAGGAGCGAGCGAAGATGAGGGAGGTCAGCAAGCGGCTCTATGCTCAGCTGCAAGAGGCAGAGAAGAGACACCTCGAGGAGAAAGAAAAACTACAGGTCAGTCTCTCACTGCATTCACTCTTCTGTACTCTAACCATTCAGTTCAGGCTGATTTTCTGGCATAAAACATACAGTGCTGTGAATTCTCAAGGAAATGAAAATAAGAAAAATAAAAACATTTTGGAATCTCTCAACAAAAAAACAAATTAAGCTTGAACATTAAACACTTCAGAATTGCAACATTTTGCTGTTTGTGCTTCTTTGTGGCTTCTTGTGAAAGTTGGCCGGTTCTGCTCACCTTCTTTTCATACCGTTTTTTTTTTTTTCTGCGCATAGCACTTCTTTGCCATCTCTCTCTCGCTCTCTCTCCCTCCAATTCTCTCTCCCTTTCCCTCTGCCTCTCCCTTATTCTCCATTTCACTCCCTCTCACATTCCCTCCCTCCCTCTCTGTCTCTCTGTCATGCCTAGCTCAGCTCTCTCTGTCTTTTGTCCCTATTCTTGTGTTTATAGCCTTAGGGCCAGCATTGCATTGTTAATGAAGGCATTCCTGAGGAACCAGTATGAATTGAAAACACTGTGCTGAGTTCCTTTAGCCCTGTGGCCTTCAGGGTGGGGTGGGGTGGTAGGGGAGCGCTGCTGGTCCGTTGCCAGTCCTGCAGGTTTCTCAGCTGCTGATGAAGCCAGACTTGCAAGGAACACTGTGACGGAGTGACTGAAAGACAAACTCATTCTCCTCCAATGATGTAATGTTTTATTCAGGCTACAATGTGAAACCGCTCACATCAGAATGATCCTGCTGAAGTCATGTCTCATTCTGAAACATTTGGCACTGTTTTGGTCTTCTTGTTTCCTTTCTACACCACTCAGTGCTTACTCTTTCTCCAGTACTCTCCGTTATCAGAGTGAGAGCTTCTCCAGTATTCTCTATTATTAATTAGGGTTTGAATGAAAACATAACGTATCAAAATACAAACACATTGACCCTTTTCGTTGCTTCAACAGAATATATTGTATGCTATCATATTTTGTACATAAGGTAATGCAATTAGGAATTCATGTCTATCTGGACATATTGTGCATTTGCATTAAATATCCTGAATCACTTCAAACAGTGAGGTTCAGTAGCGCTACAGGTTGCTGAGAAAGCCATCTGGCACACTCTTGGCAAACCACCGTTAGCTACTAACAGCTTAAACTAGCTACAGAGAACAAGTTATGTTTAGCCCATTATCAGGTTTGTAACTTGCTAGCTGACATGTTGCCAGCAATCTCGCTAGCATTTCCCCAAAATCAGTTAAAAATGAGCTGCTTGGAACCAAAATAACAGAAACTTTGTAATAAGCGGCCAATGACAACTATTCCCCCTTATCACTTTTATGCTTTTCTTTTGTCTTCCAGGCAGAGGCTGGTCAGTATAAACAGCAGCTGTCCGAGCAGAGTGACCAACTAAATGAGGCTCAGCAGAATGCCAGACAGCAGGACGAGCGAATCGAACAGCTCCAGCGGCTGCTAGGAGGGATGGAGCAGGAGAACTCCACCCTGAGGGAGGAGCTAATGACCCGGGAGGCGGAGCTGTTGCAACTGCGGGAGCTGAGGGAGGAGGGTCAAGCCGAGAGGGATAGGTGAGTGAAGCGTGGGAATTCAGAAATTATTCCATTTATGGTTTCAGGTGGTGTGTGTGTGTGATGTCATTGGTCCATCACAGTGGATATATGTATGTATGTATATATGCACTTTCTGAGTTGATGAGGACTGTCTAAACGCAACATTGTAAAAATGGGGTTCTAAGTAAGAAGGTTTGGTTAAACTGGTGGCTGGTTTTCATTCCACATGCATACATACTTACATTCTTTGTCAGACTCCAACAGTCCAACTCTCAGCCAGTAGCACAAAGTCCACTTCAACTGGCACATACTTTTTATGACCCTTACTGAAAGTGGGCCAAGAGGTTGTGCTATGGCTGACGAATGTGTGAGCACTCAAATGTTTTTTCTTATGTTATTTTATTTATGAAGTCTTATATATATGATGATAAGCCAAACATCTCTGTAAACCAATTTTTTTTTCTCAGAGCAGCTGAAACTGAAATTCTATTGAGCGGTTTTAAGAAACCGTCATGTCTCTTTATTCTTCAGCTGCTCTTTAAAGAGTGATGTTTTGTAATTTCAAATCTAGAAAATATAATTTTGTTATAGCAATAATAGACTTCTGTTTCTTTTCTAGGTTAGAGCAGCTGGAGAAGGAGAATGCTATCCTGAAAGAAAAGATTCATCACCTTGATGATATGCTCAAGAGCCAACAGAGGAAACTCAGACAGATGATCGAGCAGGTACAGATACACACACACACTTGGACAGCTGCTATAGAACGTCAGAACTTTACACTTTCTTACACTCACACTTTCCCCGTACAGCTGCAGAACTCTCGTATGGTGATTCAGGAGCGAGACCGCATCATCAGAGAACTAGAGGAGAAAGTGGCCTTCCTGGAGGCAGAGGTCAGTGCACGCACATACATGCACATTTTAACCCATATGTCCCATATATATATATATATATATATATGTATGTGTGTGTTTGTATGTGTGTGTATATGCGCACATACACACAGTCATATGCAAAAGTTTGGGCACACCTGGCTAAATGATCACACTTCTTTCATGTTTTTCTCCACTAAAATTTGCAGAAAAATGCCACGTTCTTCTCTGTACAGGATATGTTAATTTATATTCACTTAGAAAATCAGCAAAACATGTCATTTGACCAGGGTACCCAAACTTTTGCAAATAACCGTATAAGTAATATGTTCCATGTATTTTATGTATGTGTATTTATAAGAATTTTCTAGGTAACCAAAAAGAAGTGTTTTTGCCTTTTCAGCTTAAAAAAAATGAAACATTTGTCAAAAGCAAAGACAACTGACATGATCATTTACTCATTACAGAACAGAGAAATGCGTGATCAGATGGACTACTTTGCTGGAGGTCAAAGATCAAACTCATACCTGTCCGATCACAATGCTCAAATTGTCTACAGGTACATTTGCTTATACACACATCACACAGAAGCTGTTCTGTACATAATACAAGACCCACTCTCAGATACATGTGCACTAACAGTAGCTCTCTTTATGTCCTCCACAGCAAGCCACTGAAACCATCCTCTCAGGGCAACAAGAGCCTACCGTTCATTAAAGTCATCGAGATCAAATCATGAAGAGCACTACGGCACCAGGAGAACAGAATAACCCTCTATTACCAGCACAAGGTCCTCACCTTTCTACAGACTCTATTAACAGTCCACATCGCCCTCCACTGCCTCACTGCTGTTCCGCAACAAACTGGATCAGCGTGATGGCTTCGGTATCGAACTGACTGACTGTAAACACGACTGCAGCTCATCAACATGTGCGAAGCTTTTAATTCATGTATATAAGATTTCGGTTATGGTTTGATGTGAATAGATGTAGTCTAGGTGTAGGTTTTCACGTACTGTAGCACATGACATGCTAGCATGCATAACATTGACCCAAACTCAGCTGAAGTACGAGTTCAGGTGAAGTTTACGACAGGGGGATATCTACTTAAAATGAAGTCAAGAAATGAAGAATGGGGGGAGCAGAACTGAAGGAGGGAGTGAATGATTTGGTGTTTTTTTGAGGCTGGCCCTCTGAACACAATCCCTCTGTGAATCGGTGGCTGGATGAGAAGGACAGATTGTGGCGCTTAATCTCTTGTTCACTCTCAATCTGTTTTAGCACTCCCTCGTGTAGATGACGTTAATTAATCAACAGATCTTTTACTCTGAACTAGAGATTACAGTTAAGGAGCAAATCTGTGTGAGCTTTAACGGTCATCTCTTGTCTTAATGAAGGAATACTAATGTATCTGTACAATGTCCAGCGCATGAGCTAAAAGCTTCTAAGATAAAAGTGCGCGGGAAAGGCTCTTAAAATATCTCACTAAGCCAGCATTCACGGTCATATAACTAGGCTATCCAGGTAGAAGTAAAACAGAAAACAAGACAGGCTAAGACATGAAACAGGAAAGGTAAGACCAGGCTGTTGTTTGATAACGCCACCATGGTGAGCCGCAGCATTGAAACTGCTCTGTTTGAGTTTCGTGCTGTGGTTTAGAGTGGGCTTGTTTTTCATGGGAGTAGATTAAGCCTGGATTACTCCCTCAAAAATAGCTGTCAACTCTAAATCTCCTCAAAACAGCTCATAACTAATGGTTTTTGTTTGGACGAGGCTCAATTTCGGCTATTTTGAAGTCAGGAATAGTTTTAGAAGCGCTTTTTAGTGCTGTGCTCCAAAAACATGTGGTCAAAATTTTATTAAAGTACTTTCATCACCTCCTGCAGTGGTGCCCCGTAATCCCAAGGGTGAGATTTACTAGATTAAAGGCTAGGAAACCCCCCTTCTGATGTATTTTGAAGGTGGGGGGAGTACTTTAAGGGTGGGCTGTTTGAAAGAGCTGACGTTAAGCCGAACATCACGTCTGTACTGATTAGCCTCTTGTTCGTTGCCATGGGAGGATTTACAATGATTACATGCTGTATTTGCGTAGTGCATGCTGGGTATTGTAGTGAATGAACACTAGTGGATGAAAACACCTGCAGAATCATGAATTCTGTCAAACTCATGAGCCACAAACAACAATACATGCTACTTTTAGGCTGGAATGCCTTTGAACAAAAACAAATTATGAAAGTGAGGTTTAATTGGATTTGCTTCCTTTATATATTGTGTCCTTGAGAGCCTCCAGGCTGATTTTTAGCAGTAGCTGAATCTCAAATGGCTCCTCACTCCCTAAGTAGTGCACTATGTTGGTCTTTAAATAAGGGCTTCTTCACTCTTAGCAGTGCATTACTAACAAAAAAGCCATTTGGGATTCAGACAGGTTCCCTACTGGATATGTAGTGCACTATTTGGATGAAGAAAGCTAATTGTTACAGCTCGCATAGTGCACTATATAGGGAACCAGCCGGAAACACAGTCACTAAATTATATTAGCCTTAACTGACAGTTGATGATAGCGCCAAATGCTAATATTAACAATGTAGGCTCATAAAAACACTATTAAATCATGCCTAAAAATTGTGGCAGACCACTACAGACATTCAGTGTGCTATGATAAATTAAAACAGCAGATTACAGAGTCGAGTAATAATTAAAAGGCCCTTTGCCTACCAAACGAGGACGAGTTTCCAGTTGTTTTAAGCTCTTTTCCAGCTCTGTTAGCACAATAAGTTGTCGCAAGTACAAGAGACTCAGTCACACCTTCATCAGAGAGCATCACCACCCCCATAGACAAATAGAAGAATGGTGGTAATGAATTTTGTTTATATAGAGACGAATTAATTCATCTTAGTCATTTCAGTTCACTGACATTTCACCCGTCATCACAAGCTTCTTGTACATACTGTATTTATGGCTTAAGAAAACTTTCAACTTTTTCTTTTTCCATGTTTTGCTTTCTCAACTGGCCGTCCTCCAAACGGGCTTCATTCAACTTTGCACTTGCTGCAATATTTTCTGTTCTTTATTTAATATAAAAGCTATTTTTTTTAGTGATACTTTTGAGTGGTTTTAGAGTTGATGTATTATATTAATTGCTATGCATATTTATGTAATATGACATTTTGTCAGTTTGAATAAAGCGATCTGAAAGGCTTGCTGTTTGTGTACTTCCTGTTTTACAGTACTGTTTGTACTTGAAATGTGGCCTTTGGATAGTGCAGTTTTGAATGGTCAGTGTTTGATTTTACAGTAGTTGCACATGACTAACCTGAGTCACGCTATATTTCTTTATGATTTTATGACCTCTAAAGGTATTTTTGTTCAGTGTTACCAAGAAAGGTAGTAGAGTGGATCAAAATAAAATATGGATAGCTGGTGTAGTTCCTTGATTTAACTGCCCTCCAATGAACAGCTCTGTCATTTCGCAAGACGTCGAGAAATCACACTTTTTTGTCCTTCATAGTTTCAATAACATAATGCACTTTTTTCACCTGGGCTGTTACGAGTTTAGACCTTCTAACATCAGCTTTTTTTAACAATAAATAACCTGACATGAATATTGCAAAATATTTCATAAATGTGGGCTGGACATCTGCTTTACAGACTGTCTCAAAGGTGAGGAAAACAACATCAATACAGAATAAAAGCAAAAATCACCAGCTTTTAAAATTGGCTCTCCTATAAGACTTACATGGTGTCACTTGTACTCTTCATCATGTCACAATGTGACTGTACTTTATTACAGGACCTCATACTTTGAGTTGGAGTGGAGCTTGTAATCTTAACTACCCCAGGTGTCCACAGTCTGGTCCAAACTTAATCCAACACAACACTCCCAGTAAATCAAGGCCTTGAGGAGCATCTGAATATTAGAGCTAGGGGTGCTATAAATAAAGCTCCAGCACTGGATTTTCTTTATAATTTTGTGTAATTTTTTGTCTTTTTTATGGAGCCCTGCTGGTGACAACCTGTGTAAATAAAAATAATGAGTGGCCACAACTTAGTAAGGCGTGGGAACGAGATCCTAATCTGTGCCCGTGACTTAGAAAGGCAAGTCTTACGAAGTCGTGGCCTTGACTTAAGTATCTTATTGCCATACCTTAATTAGTCGTGGCCACACATCAGGATACGTTTTAAATGAGTAAGACATTCATTTTTCATGTTATATGGTTATTTTCTTCGTTTCACAGACATTCAAGTAAAACAGTTCAAATGAGGAAAAACTGTAGCACTTTTGGTGACTTTTATTTTGAAAGTGATGCACCTGCTTGCGCTGACTGTCGCGCGCAGTCTCAAGTAAACGCCTAAGCTGCGTCCAAAAGCACGGACTACAAGTTCTCTCCAAGTTCTCTCCTACAGTAGCTCCTGCACATACTACGCTACTGAGTGGACCTATTTTGACATACTAGTTAGTGTGGTAGTGTGCGGTTTGGGACGCGGCCCTATTTTTCCTGAGCGCGTGGTTTCGTGTTGAGGCCCGTTTCCACCACAGGAAAAAATACAGCCGTTTAATCATAATAATGAAAACGTTTTTCCATAATAAACACTAAGCATTTCATAATTATAAAATATGTATTATTATTATGAGACAGTAAGTAATTATAATGAGAATCAGAACTCTGACCTCGACTTGCCGTAAAGAGATACCTGGCAGGATTTTCCGTGTTTCAGCGCCGTTTTAAAGGTGTAGGTGTGAAAATGAGCTACTCTGGTGTTTCCCGGAGTGCGCTGCTGCCCCCTGCTGAACTACGGAGGTATTACAGCTCCACATTTTTCTAGTTTTATACAACAGGCCACCGGTTCATTTCACGTTGCCCATCGGTGATTCAGTTTACTTATTTTGCCGTTATCCTTCATGAATTGGTTTAAATGAATAATGTATTTATGTAAATAAAAATAATAAGAAACAAATAGTAACACTGACGTGGTGGTGGTGCGTTAGTGTGTGTTGCGCTGATACGAGTGGATCAGACACAGCAGTGCTGCTGGAGTTTTTAAACACTGTGTCCACTCACTGTCCACTCTATTAGACACTCCTATCTTGTCAGTCCACCTTGTAGATGTGAAGTCAGAGACAATAGCTCATCTGCTGCTGCACAGTTTGTGTTGGTTATCCTCTAGTCCGTCATCAGTGGTCACAGGACACTGCCCACAGGACGCTGTTGGCTGGATATTTTTGGTTGGTGGACTATTCTCAGTCCAGCAGTGACACTGAAGTGTTTAAAAATTCCAGCAGTTCACATAATCATACGAAGGCTGTAAATGTTGTGAATTTTGAGCATATAATTATAACAATAATAATAAGAAGAAAAAGGATCTTGTGAGTAAAACACAATGGTAAGAACTGCAATGCTTCAGTGTTTCTGATAGTTGGTCTCCTGTGTTCTGAAGGATGTGGTGGACTGAACTGTGAAGTGCCCTTAACTGCCCTTATACAGGTATCACATATCGGTCCAATTTTACCAAAATTGTTAAATAGTTGTAGTTCAGCAGAAAGAAATCTGTCAGAAAATGCACTCCTTCTCAAATCTGGCTACATTATTATTACATCAGTGATACTTTATACAGGTAATCCATATTGTTTCCAAGTATGTTGAAGGGTAGATTTTCCCCTTTAATCAAATTTGAATCTTTGTAAGTCTTTCTTATGAATATTTTTCTCCAATCTATGTTAACAGACATGGCAGCGACCAATGGTACAGGAGATGGAAAGCATCCCAGAGAGGTTTTCAGAGTCTTTCAGAAGTAAAGATGAGGAGGGGTTCACCACTCTGTGAAAGACTGTGCAGACAAATAGTGCAACAATTCAAGAATAACGTTTCTCAACATAAAATAGCCAAGAACTTTTTCTTTTCATCATCTACGGTACATAATATCATTAAAAGATTCAGAGAATCTGGAGAAATCTCTGCAATGATCTTTGGGCCCTCAGACGGCCCTGCATTAAAAACAGACATGATTCTGTAGTGTAAATCACTGCATGGGCTCAGTAACACTTCTGAAAAACACTGTCTGTGCGAAAATGATCTACTCTGGTGTTTCCCGGAGTGTGCTGCTGCCTGCTGCGGTATTACAGCTCCACATAGAGATTTTGTACAGTTTTACACAAAAGACCACCTTTTCTATTTCACGTTGCCCACCTATGATTCAATTTGCTTATGTTGCCCTCTTTTATCCTTTGTAAATTGGTTTAAATAAATAATAAATAAAAATGGTTTTAATAATACTATCATTAATAGACTCCACTGTTCAGCAATGCACAAGTTAATCTAGAAATCAGTATAGTAAAAAAAACAGCAGCAAAGATGATGAAATAATTGTGCAAACAAGAAACATTTAAATTATGAAAACATCTGAGTATTAATTTTTAAAATGTAAAACATTACACTCTGAATTGTGAAAGCAGCATCTCTTCTGTGAGGATTCTTCCTAAACAAAATTAACATGAAGTTTTGTGTTGCTCAAAATGATAATTCCCATAAAGAAATCAGAAATCAGATATATGCCAATATACAGATTTCAAATATATGATATTTATTATGACAAATGGATTTCCCTTATGTCCAGTTTATATTAGTCATATGTGGACATATCTGAGCCAACTTATTTGAAATTGGCCATTTTCAAATATGGGGTTTATATTTCTGTCATGTATCAACATGTACAAACATATATATGTAACACGATATGTGACAGAAAACATTATTCATATATGGATGGCATATATTTCTCATACACCATTCAGGCATAACCTCCTCCTTGTTTCTATGCTCATTGTCCATTTTATCAGCTCCACTTACTATATAGGTCCACTTTGTAGTTCTACAGTTACAGACTGTAGTCCATCTGTTTCTCTGCATACTTTGTTAGCTCTGTTTTACCCTGTTCTTCAGTGGTCAGGACCCCCATGGACCCTCCAGAGCAGGTACTATTTGGGTGGTGGATCATTCTCAGCAATGCAGTAACACTGACGTGGTCATGGTGTGTTAGTGTGTGTTGCGCTGGTACGAGTGGATCAGACACAGCAGTGCTGCTGGAGTTTTTAAACACTGTGTCCACTCACTGTCCACTCTATTAGACACTCCTGCCTTGTCAGTCCACCTTGTAGATGTGAAGTCAGAGACGATAGCTGATCTGCTGCTGCACAGTTTGTGTTGGTAATCCTCTAGTCCTTCACCAGGGGACACAGGACGCTGTTGGCTGGTTGGTTGGTGGACCATTCTCAGTCCAGCAGTGACACTGAGGTGTTTAAAAATTCCAGCAGCACTGCTGTGTCTGATCCACTCACACACTTACAAACCACCACCACATCAGTGTTACTGCAGTGCTGAGAATGATCCACCACCCAAATAGTACCTGCTCTGTGAGGGTCCATGGGGGTCCTGACCACTGAAGAACAGGGTAAAAGGGGGCTAACAAAGTGTGCAGAGAAACAGATGGACTACAGTCTGTAATTGTAGAACTACAAAGTGCACCTATATAGTAAGTGGAGCTGATAAAATGGACAATGAGTGGAAAAACAAGGAGGAGGTCATAATGTTATGCCTGATCGGTGTATACGCTAAGCCATTGCCAAGAAGGTGATATGGTATTTCAGGTGGTTACTAGAGTGATACAATGTGGTCGCCATGGTTTTTCAGTTGCAAAAGAATTGTAAGACAGTTGTTAGGTGTTTACTATGGTATACTAGGTGGTTCCTAGGACATCACTAGGACACAGCTAGAGTGTTTCAGGTAATTGCTAGGTTGTGTGGCTAAGTGGTTCCTACATCGTCCCAACTGGTTGCTGGATGTTGCTAGGTGGTTACTTAGATGTTGCTAAGCAGTTCACATAATCATATGAAGGCTGTAAATGTTGTGAATTTTGAGCATATTATTATAACAATAATAATAATAAGAAAACGGATCTTGTGAGTAAAACACAATGACAAGAACTGCAATGCTTCAGTGTTTATTTTCTGATAGTTGGTCTCCTGTGTTCTGAAGGATGTGGTGGACTGAACTGTGAAGTGCCCTTAACTGCCCTCCTCTAAAACTGTCATGACCTGGAACATAAACTAAAAGACATGCATTAGATAGAGAAGCACTTCTGAAGCACTTCTTAATTTTCATTTGCAGCATGTAAACGTATCACAATATCTCATTTGTCTGTCTTA